TAATTCCTTCTAAATAATTGTACTAATATTAAAGTACTATTAAAAAGGGAAAATGCTTTTTTTTTTTCCTGCCACCACAAGTGTTTGCAATTTTCTCAAAGAAATTGTACATTTTGCTGATTTTTTTTTCTCAATAAAAAGCATGTAAGTAAAACACAAATCCAGGTGTACCATGAAATAAATCAGCTCAGTTAGTTCCCTGTGTTTTTTACATTGTGGCTTTTACTTCCTTTGTGCATTAAGTCAGATGGATAGTATTCAGGGTAAGCAAGACACTAACAAAAGGAAACAGTTCTCATGTTTTTCAGATTACATAGAGCTAAAACATAAGATTGTATGGCAAATGATTAACAGAGGACCAACATCAATGCTTACCCATTTTTAGGTGATACCTTGAGGAATTTTAGGCACATAACCGTGTTTTGTAAGCAACTTATGTTACCTTACCAGTATTATTATAAGCCATTAAACTGGCTGTACATAACTACCAAACTGTTTTGTTATATTTGTGTTTTGTTTATATTGTATATGTTGTGAGTGCTGACACAGTGAGAAAGAAAATAGCTGAGGTTCTTAGGAAGCTAATGCTCTGAAGCAATTTTAAATATTGATCCTGGGTGAGCAAGAAAACCTGAATGATGCAGAAAAAGTAATTTATTATTCCTGGGCTGATACCATCAAGCCATGAAATGGATGGAGATAGAGACAGGCAAGAGTGGCATCTCAGCTGGAAGTCTCTTACTTTCATTTGTTTAACTCATTGTAACAGCTAGCCTAAATAAAGAGGCCCTATGAGACCAGGAAATCAGGTTGTGATAGAACCTGACTTTGTAAGTGCCATTTAATATCTGTTTTAATATAAGTAAATAAATGCTTAATTAATCCTTCCTTTTGGCTCAGCTGGGAACCTTGGGGAATAACATACTTGTTCCTAAGTTGGGCACTGAAGCTCAGAACATGTGATTATTCATAGAATCATAGACTAGTTAGGGTTAGAAAGGACCTTAAGATCATCAAGTTCCAACCCCCCTGCCATGGGCAGGGACACCTCACACTAAACCATATCATCCAAGGCCTCGTCCAACCTGGTCTTGAACACTGCCAGAGATGGAGCATTCACAACCTCCCTGAGCAACCCATTCCAGTGCCTCACCATCCTAACAGGAAAGAATTTCCTCCTTATATCCAATCTAAACTTCCTCTGTTTAAGTTTTAACCCATTACCCCTTGTCCTATCACTACAGCCCCTGATGAAGAGTGCCTCCCCAGCATCCCTATAGGCCCCCTTCAGACACTGGAAGGCTGCTATGAGGTCTCCATGCAGCCTTCTCCAGGCTGAACAGCCCCAACTTTCTCAGCCGATCTTCATATGGGAGGTGCTTCAGTCCCCTGATCATCTTCGTGGCTCTCCTATGGACTTGATCCAACAGATCCATGTCCTTTTTATGTTGAGGACACCAGAACTGCACACAATACTCCAAGTAAGGTCTCATGAGAGCAGAATAAAGGGATAGGATCACCTCCTTCGACCTGCTGGTCACACTCCTTTTGATGCAGCCCAGGATACGGTTGGCTTTCTGGGCTGCAGGCACACACTGAAGCCAGCTCATGTTCATTTTCTCATCGACCAGCACCCCCAAGTCCTTCTCCTCAGGGCTGCTCTGAATCTCTTCTTTGCCCAAGCTGTAGCTGTGCCTGGGATTGCTCCGACCCAGGTGTAGGACCTTGCATTTGGCATGGTTAAACTTCATGAGGTTGGCATCAGCCCACCTCACAAGTGTGTCTGATGCCAACCTCATGATTCATTAGTAAGGGTCTGTAGAAGTAAATGTTAGCATGTAGGTTCCACAAAAATACTTTTTACAAATAATTCTGCACATTGCACAAGTTCATATGAGAGAAAATGTATTTTCAGCCAAATAGACTTCTATGTAGCCAGCTACCAAAAGAAAAATAAATGGTTTGTTGTATAAAGAAATGCAGGTTTTGCAATGTCTTTATTCAGACCATCACCAAAATAAAGTTCATTATTTGAAAACAGAATTTAAGAGCTATTATAAGGATTGCATTCACTTAGTACTTGGGTTGCTTTAAATGAGGCTTTAATAAAATCTATTGTCATTGCTGTAGCTAAAGGAGGGTAGATTTCCTCTTGCTGGATCTGAACACTTTGAGGATGGCTGGATTATTATTGTGGAACACAGGCAGAAGTAATAGTTCAAAAATAATTAAACTTGACAGCCAAAGTTGATGTTTTCATTTGATGATAACATTTTTTTTATCTCATGCAGGTATTTGTCAATAAGTTTCTTGTCATTGTTATTTAATTCTTTGGTTTGCTTTCTGGATGTTGAATTCAGTAGCACTGACATAATATTTTGCTTACTTTCACCTACCACAGATGAAGACGAAGGAATTCTAGATCTGCAGTGAAACTGAATTGTAAAAACATTTTCTGAATTCTGGAATTTTTTGTTTGAGGCCAAGATTTTTGTTTATTTTTAAATAATGTACATTTCACATTCATAGAGTCTTGGGAAGACAATTTTGTTTTTAAAATGAAAACGGTAAGATGTTTCACTGGAACACACAAGCAGAAGCAGGCTTTTCAAAATGTATAAAGTTTATTCAAGAACTCAGTTTTCAGTTAATTCTTGCAACTTCCTTTTGCATCAAGCTATATAAAGACAAACAAATGTCATTACTAAAGGACTGTGAAATAGGAACAAAGAGGGTTGTGTTTGGGCAATCACCAATGAAGTTTTGCTACCATTTTGGTATTTTTACTTTTCCACTGTGTAACAATACCAACCAGTTACTAGAACTGTTGTAAATAATTATTTTTGAGGGTAAAAAAAATGCAAACAATACAGTTCACTGATGTGAACACTGGGTAATGTGTTTTTTTCTTCTCCATTTGCATAACACATTTGAAAATAAACTAGAGAAGTGCGTAGTCACTTTCCTGTGCCATAATTTTCTGTTAACCTCTAACTGCTTACTGAAGTTTGATTCAAGTAGAAACTGTAATTTTGAAGTATTGAAGAGGGATGGAAATGCATCCACACAGAGATATCAGAAAAGATACTATGTGTGAACCACACTGAGATTAACAACAGTTCAGATTCTGACTACACTGCGGTAATTTCAGCATAAACTTCATTTCTTCACTAGCCACACCTAAAAGGAAAAAAAAATCCCCATATTATTCTTCAGTGACGCAAAATTGCCATTCATGCTTTAAAAAAACTCATATAATGCAATTATATTTTCAATGCCAGTTTTGTAGCATAATGAAACTAAGAATGGAATTTAAACACTGAAGAGGGGCAGATTGGTGTTCTGGTTGATGGCAGAGCTGATGCTTGTACAACTCAGGATCTTCCTGTGATCTGAGGCAAGTCCAAAGTTTTACTTCCATGAGAAAGGCAGTATCTACTGCAATGTATAACTGACATGCCAAAATGCTTAGTAGCGTTACTAGCCAGGAATTGCACCCCTATTTTCCCAGCTGTATACCACGGCTTTGTAAAAATAACTAACCCAGAGCAACTTTAGTGTAAGGAGTTGTAACAGAAGTGGCTTCCAAGTACTCAGTAGTTTCAGCATTAAGGGTTAGTTTCCAGTAGTAACCTGGGAAGCCAAGATTCAGTCCCTTGGTCTGTATTAACTGCAAATCACATTTGAAAATGTGTGTCCAAACCAAAGGCTTAAAATGCATTAACTTTAAATGCTATGTTTTCATTGCCAGCAGGAGAGGCAGACTGTAACTAATATACTTATTTACAGTATCTGGCTAATATTTAGGGGTTAGATTAGGTGAATGAGTAGTTTGGTACCACATGGAAGTGGGCATATATTCCTTGGTGCAGGAAACATAGGTATGGTGACAATTCAAATGCCTTTGCAACTAGATAGTAGCTGAATTCTCTAAGGACTCAAGTCCGGATTTGCTGCTATGGTGAGTATATAAAGGACTGGAGACATTACAGCCCTCCAAGTTACTTGTAGCAGCAGTTTATCAGCATCTGGCACATACAATGGAATTTGCTGTCCTTTATTTTAATACTCATACTTTCTACCCGGTGAATAAGCTAAGCCTGCTTATAGGTTTTTTTTGCAAAGCCTGCAACATGGAGCTGGAAACACCTAAACTGCCTTAAAAGGAATGCTGGAGACCGTTTCTGTTAGTCTACCTCAGCTGAGGGCTTAGTTGTAGAAAGATATAGTTGAGATTTATAAACAGATATAGTTGAAAGATAATAGTTGTAGAGATATATATTCATCCCTTTAGGGCCAACAGCCCTAGATTCACTTCTGAAGGTAGACATCTAAGCACAGGAAAAGGGGATTTCAGAAATGGAAGATGTGTGTCTTCCTCCTTTTCCCTTAGGGAACATGTTAGCAATCAGTACTCTCCAAACAACATGGGAGACCTCAACTCACTTGCCTCCTTTGCCTGGGGGACCCAAAAGCTTAGCTTAAGCAAGTCTCCTACTTTTCCTATTGAAGCGCTTCTAGTCTGCATTAATTACTGAGGGCTCCACCCTGCTAATGAAGGGCAATTTTAGTATTGTACACTAGACTCATTGGATAAATTACAAAGGCAGCCCTTGAGGCAGGGACTACCCAGAACTTTTACCACAATAGCAGTGGATACTGCTAAGTGGGGGCTCTTTCTCAGCTCAGTCTTTTGTTGGTATCTTGGATCATAACTGAGTGTTGGGTTTCTTCGCTTGTCCACCAGAGCTGAAGTAGAAAGTTAAAAAAACAGCATAGCTTTAATAATTCTTTCATTCTGATTCTCCTGCTTTAAGGATGGTGATTCCTTTCTGTAAAGGATGGACATTCCATGACTGAGAAACAGTTACAGGTTAAAATCTCTAAATAGACACCAAGGCACTATGTGATAGCAGCTCCTACCTGGGTAATAATATCATTGAATATATAGAAAACAGCATCAAAAGAGTTAAAATCCCATGATTTTAAAGAACAGACTATTCAGTGCAAATCTTGCTATCCAGAGGTGTGCAAACAATTTATTTGTGTTTAGTGCAACACTGTACAGGGGAATAGGTCTGCAGTTGTGTTTCTCTACAAGGTCAATAAATGGTTTGTCAGCTCTGGTGAGCATTTATTTTGTATCCAAATGTAAAAAATAATACCGATTAGTTTTACTCTCTCCATTTGTGATAGCATCTCGCTCTGACAGGATCAGAAGTATCAGTCAACAGCTGCAGATGGAAATGAAACAGTCCTCTTAATTGGATCCTGTGGGCTGCAGAAAAGGACTTTGTTCCCCACCGCCCAAACAGTTCCTTGTGTCAGACAATCTGGAGCCATATAGGGTTTTTTTTCTTTTTACTAGTCCAGCTGGCGAAGCAAATTGCCCTGTTGAATTAGCATGGGGTTTAAATGAGCATGACAGTACGGGCAATAAAACAAACTACTGCTATTATAAAATATATTGGCATATTTCTCTGTTGTATAGTGAACATATTTGAGACATAGGTGGCATAAATGACTCCTGAAGCTTTTTGTATTGGTTATTTTTATATGAATCTCAGTAATAAGTAAATCAGCGTATATGCTGACAAATTAAAACAGAAAGCTATTTGCAAATTAACCTTTTACACAGAACTTATACAAATACCACATTTTTCAAATCCTGTGTTATTGCAAGAACAAAATTGCATAGACCATTTGCTGGCACTTTTCGAATTCCCCAACTAATGCTTTGTCTTAGCATTATTCCCTCAATTTAATTTCACCCACTAATGCAGTAAGTGTTACATGTAGTGAGAGAAAAAAAAACACAGAGCTCAAAAATATAATAGTGACATAATCGTCTGACTAAGTAATAGTTCAGCAAGGAAACATATTCCTTTCTTTTATGCTCTCTGTAAGGCTGTTTTCAAAGTGTTACTGATAGAACATGTAATTTGATTCAAGTCATTCTTTTGAAGCTGAAATGTCATTTGTGCTCTTCTTCCCTTTTCACCCTGTAGTCCAGAATAGCAGATACAGATTTGTTTCCTAACTGAAGTACTTTGTTGTCAAAACTCTTAAAATTCTGGTTTTGGTAATGCTCTTCAGCAGTAATATAAAGACCAAACTAGCAAGGTTTTTTTTTCTGGTGCCTCACTGGCAGACACGGCTGTATTCATGGCAAGTGGAGCCCACGCCAGCCACTGACAAATAGAGCTTTCCGTCTGGGCAAACACAGATTTCGTAGAGCCCCTGAGAAATACCGGATCCACCCCTTGTACCCTCGGGCAATTTGGGCAGTCGCACAGTTTCAGCATCCAGCAAAAGCTAAATGGGAGAAAGCAAGACAAACGGACTTGTTAGAGATAATACATACAACACACAACAGCCTGACTGTCTAAGCAGTGATTTAAGAATAGTCTTCTACCCAGACTTGTTACAGACAAAGCTCTCTGAGACCTAGGCTCTCACAAAACACTGGAACACAGGAGAGGGATAAGCTGGTGACTATCCTGTTCCTTTGCAGTGACCTTCATGTAGTTCAACAAGGCCAAGTGCAAGATCCTGCACCTGTGTTGGGGCAATCCCAAACATGGATACAAGCAGGGTGATTGGGGATACTGGTGGATGAAAAGCTGGATATGACTCAGCAACGTGTGCTTAAAGCGTAGAAAGCCAATCACATCCTGGGCTGCATCAAAAGGTGTGTGGCTAGATGATTCTCTCCCCCCTCTACTGCACACTCGCTGAGACCCCATCTGCAGCACTGTGTTCGAATCTGGAACAGTGTTTCTTTATCAGAAAGACATGGACCTGCTTGAACAGGTCTAGAGGAGGCCACAAAGATGCTCCAGACTGGAGCACCTCTCCTATGAAGACAGGATGAGACACTTGGTTTTCTTCAGCCTGGATGAGAGAAGGCTCCTGGGAGATCTTAGAGCAGGAGCCTACAGGAAAGATGGGGAGACTCCTTATCAGGGAGTGAAGTGATAGGATGAGTGCTAACAGTTGTAAATTGATGAGGGGTAGACTTAGATCAGATAGTAAGAAGAAACTCTTCCCTGTGAGGGTGGTGAGGCACTGGAACAGGCTGCCCTGAGAATTTGTGGATGCCCCATCCCTGAAAGTGTTCAAGGCCAGGCTGGATATGACCTTCAACCCTGCCCAGGTTGAACAACCTGGTTGAGTGGAAGGTCTCCCTACCCATGGCAGGGTGGGTGGAGCTAGATGACATTTAAAGGTCCCTTCCAATACAAACTATTCTATGGTAAGATATGGAACCCCTGCCCATACACTGAATAGCAGCACATAGGTGCTGCTGCTGCTGGACTTTCGTCTGTCCTGGCTTGAGTGCTGACACTTTGCAGCTGTGCCAGCTTGTTAGGGATGGACATACAGGTTGGTCTGGAGTTCCTCTGTGGAAGAACTGGCACTGTACACTCTCACGGATGCGCTAGACAGTCTGCTGCACGAGGCGTGCTGCTGCTGATGGGGCAGTTCTTTGTGACACCTCCTTAATTTATCAGCTTTGGGGCTGAGTGTCTGCTCTGGGTCAAGGACCCTATTTGGGTGCCTGGGGATCACTGTGCTGGTGGGGAGCTGAGTGCTACTGCAGTTTTATTAGAGAGCATTTATCTAAGCTAATACAGCATTATGTCAATTGGTGTTATTATTTAAACTGACCCATAAATAAAAGTCTTATTATTGGCACTATTAAGTTTACTATCCTGTCTCCTAAAATCTAAGGAACAAAAATAAAAGAACTTGAAAAAAGACTTGAAGTTGTTATTTATATTCAGATAGCAACATCAACTATAGTTACAGAAACAGAAGGGTTTGTACTCACCACACCATCACTGCTGTGAAGTTTGATATCCATCTGGGAAAGAGCTTCAATATTCCCAGCTTGCGCTTTGATATTAATTCCTCGTGGTGCATCCATGCTCAAAGATCGAGTTGGTGATTCCAGCCTGAAAGCAGGAGCAGGAAATCTGACAGTAGCACATTCTCATACGTTCCTTTATTTTTGAAAAATAAGTAAACTTTGAACAAGCACTTGAGGAATCTCGCCTGAAGTCATAGGAAAGATGCAGCTCCTGTTTTCTTCAGGCAGACTTGCAAAAGGAGGAAACTATTTAAAAACACCGAAGTACCCCTAACGAAAAATACAGATGAATTCATAATACGAACAGAAGGTGTTATTTCCGTATATTGGTAATTTATTCTTTAAAACTGAAACCCATTTTTACATTTTTCAGTTTGAATTTATTTAGTTTTTGACATAATAAGTTACTGAAATGAATACAAGTAGTGCCATTTGGAAGTTTCATAATCAATGGGAGTTTTGACACTGCTATCAGTCAGAGCAAGATCTTAATTTGTGTGTTCTTTAACTAGATGTCATCTGAAACCTAAAAACCAGTAACTCCCTTTGACATAAAAAACATGCACTACGGAAAGCTGGAAACCCTACAGTGCCACAAGATGGCAGGAAGGTACTGCAGGAGCTGAGTAGTCACCTCATCAGGTCAGCTGTGCAGGATGATGATTTCTGTTTTCCAAGGAGATAAGGCTTTGTTTCTTCACAATTTTGGTATCGTTTCCACACTAAGTAGCAGGGATACAAGTAATAATTAAAAAGCATGGGATGAAAAGAAAAAGCCCAAGTTCAGCAACAAGCTAGTGATTATATTTCTTCTTTCTACCATCACCTAGAACTGCTTCCTCAGGAGACATGGGGAACACTGCAAGACCAGAGTTAATACCTACTGGGTTTTGTTCCTGATGACAACATCCTGAATTTTATACTATCAGCCAGTACTAAGCAGGTGAATATTATGGCTAGAGAAAATTAACCAGTTTACTTTATATCCATGTTACCTTCTCTATTCTGTATGCTCCCTGGACACGCAAAGAGCTATGTGGGCTTTGTCCACAATGCAGAACTCAGACGTGTCCCTGCTTCAGATCTGCATGTGCTCACCCACCGTGTCTTCTGGAAACGTAGGGGTGGTCATGTATATGTGCGTGCACATGTATGTGCACGCACTCCCAGCAGACACTGTGTTGGGTCCATGCATGCTCAACAGCTGCTGCCAAGCTGGAGGAGTGGAGGACTGTGCCCCAGCAGGTCCTTTACTAGGTGTGCATTAGGTACTGAGCGTAGATACTGACTGCCAATCAATCACATGCTAAAGGAATTAAATGCTTTTAAACACAATCCTGCTGTAGCTCTCATGGGTTTAATTCACTCAGACTGCTTCAGTTCTTCCCTTTTTAGCAGTTATTTCATTAAAACTAGAATTTAAAAGTCAGTTGTGCTTGTGAAAAACTTCAGTTCTATCTTAGAATTCTGAAGAGGCTAAATACAGCTGCTATCTTAAAACCTAAACCCATGATATCTGAGCACAGTCTCTGAAACTTCATCTTTTATCCCCAAATCTGAAAATAGGCAATATTGGCTTATCACTGCTGACCAGAGGCAGCAGCAGATTCTATCTTTGATCTTCAAAGGTTCCTTCTAACCCAAACCTTTCAATGATTCTATGATTTGCCTCTCCCCACCATCTCCTGGGTTAGTCACTTTCAATTAGTTTAAACTTTGGATTGATAACTTAAATTCCTAGCAATGGATGACTGCATCATGGCTCCATATTGGGACCATATCCATAAAATAGTTTGATGCCTTATCGCATGTCTTGGAGATGGCACAAAGTTCAGTAATGTTCATGCTGAGTACAAGGGCACAAGTATGAGTCTGTTCTGCATCAGACACCTGATATACTGTTAGCAATATTTATTAAGCAGTGTTTGTGATTTAACAACTTTTCTATGACTTGTTTCTTCAGATTTACACTTTTATGAAATTGAAAATCAGTTTTTCCTTGAGTGATTTACACAGGATGTCTGCTTCATGGCAATATTTGTTGATGCACATTTGTAATCATTGTATAATGAAAAATCAAAGTCTGTATTGTCAATATTTAAAATTTAATATATAAGTGTGTGTCAAGGTAGTTGACTTGTCATAATTTGTTTTAGCAAAAAAGCTATAAACAGTGAATTTTTTTTTTTTTTGCAAAGTATTTCACCTATGTAAGTAATCAGTATGAAGGCATAAATTTTTATTTTTAAGCTCTATTAAATATTACAGGAAGGCAGACTGGGACAGATTTTTGAAGAACATATCAGACCTGGAGTTTGAAAAGCAATCAAATACTGGAGAAATATTTCTTAGTTTCTACCAAAATTAATGCTGGCAAGAAGCCTACAGATTTCAGAAGCACTTACAGATTTATGACATGACCTACATACAATTGAAATTACATGTCAGAATTAGGTTTGCTATATTAAATTAGGTTTGCTATATTAATCACAATCCTATATTTCTGCTGTTTATACATGTCCTATTTCTAGATTAACTAAGGGTGGATTTACTTAACTGAGTAAGGCATTGGAGCTTCCTAAAGATGGAAACTACAGTGAAACTTAAGCAGTGATTTTAATGCTTTCTGGAAGTACAATGTGTGAGATTTTAGCAAAGGCAACATATGAACAATGTGTTTCTTCGTAATGCATTCAAAGCTTCAGTGTCTCAAGCACGGATGTACTAAAAGGGAAACAGGCACCTAGAGTAGAAATGTAGATCAAGTTGAACCTTGACTTTGAATGTCCCTTCTCAGTTCCCAAATGGATCCTGAAGACACATGACTTCCTCAGCCCCTTAGATACTGACCTTAAAGTGGCCTAAAATTCTTAAGTGGTCCTGCCCCTGAGGCATTTCCAGTCTGTCACTGGTGGGCAGGTTTGTATTTCTCCTTTATGCTTAAGGGTCTAGAGACCACAGAACTACTCTAGCAGAAGAACCGCGTGAAGGAGATACTTGTACAAGCTCAGAGTGTCTTGGAAAGATACAAATATAGCACTGGTGGTGTTTTAAATAGACATTTATAAAGCAAAATAGGCTTTTCTTAAAATCAGTGACCAGTGGATATACTTTAAGCACATGATGGGAGGAATGATTTAATCAGTCAGAAAATACATGAGTGTGTGCACATAATGGCTGATAAGAATGTTTCAAAATCTATTCCCTAAGTAATAAAAAGGAGAAAGAGAGCACGCTGGGCTGAGCAAAACATTGATGTGCATCCCTCAAAAGTCTTGGCAAAAGAATTTGGTTTGCTTGCAAATGCTAGAGGGTGCTTGAAGACTGAGAGGACAGAAATTGTCTTAGAGGTTTTGGTCATTATACAGTGTTTGTTCGAATTTGAGCAGTAGAATGATGAAGGAATATATTGATACCAGTCACTTTTTTTTTTTAATTACAGGCATATAAATTATATTTAACAAAATGGAGTGAGGATCTCTATCATCTAGAGGAATTAATCTATGTAATGTGCTGTCCTAAATGAGACATCTGTCACAGCCTGTATCTCATTTGGGAAGATGGATTCTGTACTTAGGAATAGCTTCTAGGTACTGTGGTAGCTTCCAGGGGTCAATTAGCAAGTGGTGTGGTGCAAGAGGAATTGATTGGGATGGCACAACATTTGATGCCAAAGACCTGACACCCCCATTATATCTGTCCAGAAGAGTACTAGCTGATGCCTGACCCTGAAGACTGCATGCCCAGAAAGGTTGGAGCACATTAATTGTTCTCCAGGAGAGCATAGCTTTCAGATTGATTTCATCCAAATGTCACCCTGCTTATGTGTCCCAAACAGTTCCCCAATGAGAACCAAGATGTGGGGAGCTCAGGCAGTTGGGGGGTTTCTCCCAAAAGCACGTTCCTAATTTGAATTAAGACACTCATGTAGACATATCCATGGAACGTGAAGCAATGCAAACTATACCTAGGCCCACTTGCAGAATAGGTATTTTGCCTTGCTCTCCCTCACCTCAATTCCTGCAGCCACCTGGAGCTTTGTTGGCAAAGCACAGGGGAACTGCACAGTGTCAGCTAATGAAAGGCAGGGAAGAGTGGGGCAATCAGGTCCCTGATGATATTTCATAGCTCTGTCATCTGCCTGATATTGGTCCTCCAGTAGTCCATTGCAACTAAAGCAACCGGTTGCAAGGAGAGTAATATTTTTATCACCGTCTTCTTATTTGTTGTCAAGAGAGTTCCAGAAGGTGACTATACTGTCTTGGCTTGCTACTGAGGAAATCTGGTGCTGAGGTGTGCAGAATAATTAATAATTGATAGTTAATAAAGGACTGTGTGAAAGTCTTCTGAGGGAACCTGGGCAGCATTCAGGCTCTGCATCTGAAACCATCCCAACAACTTAAAGGCCTGGAGATTCCCACCTTTTCCTATAATTATGGTGACAACTTGTGGAGATAGCAGATCACCAGAAGTTGCTCAGCTGGGTGTTTAGGGAGATTGTGAGGGGAGTGACATCCTGCTGCGGTTGTGCTAACGCAGCAGCCAATAGTGCCTGTGCATGCTGCAGGAATATTGATCTCTTCTTTCATCCTGTTCCGGCAGGAGACAGAAGGATACCTTGCCGATCTTGTAAGTACCACAATGCATTAGAAAGCTGTGTTTTAATGCTGCAGAGAGAGTACTACAGTTTTCTGGAGCCCAAGTTTCCTACCACAATGTGGGGTTACTTGACTACTAGAGCAGGACAGAGGAACCGGCTTGATCTTGTTCCTTCCGGCCACTTTTTGTCCCTTCCATCTTGTGAGTCAGCATCTCTCCTGAATTCAAGGGGGACAGAATTCTTTTGTCAGACTTGGAATGAAAATTCCCCACGTGTATGCGTTCCTCCCAGCACCTACCAAAGGAAGACCAGCCTCACTGTAAGTGAACTGGACTGGCAGGTGGACACTGCCTCTAGAACTGTGATGCACCAAATAACTGGTGTGTCCACAAATAAATACAGCAAACTTTTTTCCTTGCTTTATGGTTAAAATAGCATAATCAGTTTTACCATACAGAGAAGACTGTATGAAATGTGAACTGTCACTAAAGTATTAAAGGTATGGT